TCTAATACTTCATAGAATAAGACCAATTTTAAAAATTTGTAAAATCATGGAGAGTCTTTCCCATGATGACCCCAGAGTATCCTCTCTGATCCTTGTTGACAATCTTGGCCTTGGACATTATTCTCAAATAAAATCTTGTAAACAAATATTTTGCTGGCTGAACAAAGCCACCTGGGAGTTTTTTTAAAAATACAACCTTTTGGGTTTCAGTCCTGGAAGTTGTAATTTCTAAAGATAATGATGAGATCTTAGACTCTGAAATTTAAATCACTTAGAAGTTAATTCTGTTCTCAAACAGCCAGTTAGGAGAACTTCCAACACCACTTAATGTGTATTTATCAATTTGAAGAGGCAGGGAAAAAGAGAGTACTAATTCGTACTCCAATATTTTAGTACAAATCCACATCTGGTTCCCTACCTTTTGGGGGCAAATTGCTTCATTAAAGTTTGACAACAAACCGTTGACAGATGGACCACAGTAGAAAGCATTCTTAAGAATACATCTCAAGAAGCAGGAAAGATGGTGGCCAAGTCAATCGGATTATGTGAGTCCCCATGTGAGTGAGTGAGTATACGCGAAGCCTTGCCATGTACATTCTCAGACCACAGTGGAATAAAAATAAATATCAACACCAACAACATTTCCCCAAAGCCCACAAAGACATGGACAGTAAATAGCATGATGCTGAGCAACTACTGGGTCAACACTGAAATCAAAGCAGAAATTGAAAGATTCCTAGAAACAAATGAAAATGAAGAAACATCTTACCAAAACCTCTGAGATACCCTGAAAGAAGTTGTCAGAGGGGAATTTATATCTCTACGAGCACACATCAAGAAAATAGAAAGATCAGAAGTTGAGAGCCAAACAAATCACCTAAGAGAGCTGGAAAGAGAAGACCACCAGAATCCCAACTTTAGCAGAAGAAACCAAATCACAAAAATAAGAGCCCAAATATGGGACATAAAAGACAAAAATATCATAGAAAACATCAACAAAACAAAAAGCTGATTCTTTTAAAGAATTAACAAGATTGATGGACCCCTAGCCAGAATGACCAAGAAAAAGAGAAAAAGTCCAATAAACACAATCAGAAATACAAAAGAACAAATTACAATTGACCCTGAAGAAATGCAAAAGATTACCAGAGATTACTATGTACACCTATATGGAAACAAACTTGATAACCTAAATGAAATGGAGAACTCTCACATCACACAAACTCCCCAAGTTGAAACAAGAAAATATTGAGATATTAAATAGACCAATAACAACCCTGGAAATTGACTCTGTCATACAAAAACTACCTACAAAAAAAAGCCCTGGACCGGATGACTTTCCACCAGAATTCTACAAAACGTACAAGGAAGAGCTGTTACCAATCCTAGTGAAAATATTCCAGCAATTGAGAAAGATGCAATTCTCCCCAAATCATTTTACATAGCTAACATCACACTGTTACCCAAACCGGGTAAAGATCCAACAAAAAAAGAGAACTACAGGCCAGTATCTCTTATGAACATAGATGCAAAAATTCTCAACAAGATTCTAGCAAATTGGATCCAAAAACACATCTTAAAAACCATCCACCAAGTAGGCTTCATCCCCAGGATGGAGGACTGGTTCAACATTTGCAAGACCATAAATGTCATTAACTACATCAACAGATGTAAAAACAAGAACCACATGATTATTGCATTAGATGCAGAAAAAGCTTTTGATAAAATCCAGCATCCCTTCTTGATAAAAACCCTAAAATCTCTAGGTATAGAAGAAACATACCTCAAAATAGTAACTGCCATCTACGATAAACCTACAGCTAACATATTGCTAAATGGACAGACACTGGAAACATTTCCACTGAAAATTGTAACAAGACAAGGCTGCTCACTCTCACCCCTCTTATGAAATATTGTGTTGGAAGTCCTAACTCAGGCAATTAGACAAGTGAGGGAAATCAGAGGTATTCAAATAGGAAAAGAGGAAGTCAAGTTATCCCTCTTTACTGATGATATGATCCTATACCTTGAAAATCCAAGACAATTTGTCAAAAACCTACTTGCACTGATATAGGACTTTGGCAAAGTCAGGGTACAAAATAAACGTGCAAAAGACAGTTGCATTCCTATACACCAACAAGCAGGCAGAGATCAAAATAAAAAGCACAATCCCATTCACAACACCCCCCTCAAAAGAAATACCTCGGTATCTTTCTATTCAGAGAAGTGAAAGACCTGTACAATGAGAACTACAAAATGCTGCTCAAAGAAATCCAACAAGACACAAATAAATGGAAAAATATTCCGTGCTCATGGATAGGAAGAATCAACACTGCTGAAATGTCCATCCTACCAAGGCAATCTACAGATTCAATGCAATATCCATTAAGTTACCAACATCATTCTTCTCAGACTTGGAAATGACAATACAGAAATTCATATGGAAACATAAATGACCACAGAAAGCCAAAATACTCCTTAGCAAAACAAACAAAGTAGGAGGTATCACACTTCCAGACTTCAAATTTTACCATAAGGTTACAGTAATCAAAACAGCCTGGTATTGTACAAGAACAGGCACACAGACCAATGGAACAGGATAGAGATTCTGGAAGCAAAGCCTCAATTCCTCAACCAACTCATCTTTGACAAAGCCTCCAATAATAACCATTCAGTAAATGGTGCTGGGAAAACTGGCTGAACACATGCAGAAGATTGAAACAGGACCCCTACCTATCACCATACACAAAAATTAACTCTAAATGGATCAAAGACCTAAATGTAAAACCTCAAACTATAGGAATCTTAGAAAATGCAAGAGACACCTTTATGGAAATTGGATCTGGCAACCAATTCCTATTCAGAACTCTGAAAGCCAAGAAATAAGAAATAAGATAGACAAGTGGGACCTCACCAAACTAATGAGCTTCTGGAAAGCAAAAGAAACCTTCAAGAGAGCAGAGACACAGCCCACAGAAATGGAAAAAATATTTGCCAACTGTATATCTGACAAAGGCCTAACATCTAGGATCTACAAGGAACTCAAATGCACTGAAAGGAAAAAAACAAACAGCCCCTTTAAAAAGTGGGCAAAAGACATGAATAGACACTTCTCAAAAGAAGATATACAGGCAACCAACAGACACATGAAAAAGTACTTGGCCTCACTCAGCATCAGAGAAATGCAAATCAAAACCACTTTGAAATACCGCCCAACCCCAGTAACAGTAACCATCATTAATAAAGCAAACAACAACAGATGCTGGCGAGGATGTGCAGAAAAAGGAATATTTTTACACTTCTGGTGGGAATGCAAACTAGTGCAGCCTCTTTGGAAGACAGTGTGACGATTTCTGAAAGAACTAGAAATTGATCTTCCATATGACCCAGCAATTCTCCTATTGAGAATGTATCCAGAGGAACGCAAATCATTCAACAAAAAAGATACCTGCACACGTATGTTTGTTGCAGCCCTTTTCACAATAGTAAAAACATGGAACCAACCGTGTTGCCCATCGAAGCTGGACCGGATAAAGAAAATGTGGTATATATACACAATGGAATATTATGCAGCCATAAAGACGGACAAATATATGGACTTCACAGCAACTTGGATGGATTTGGAGTCGATCATACTCGGTGATCTATCACAGAAACAAAGAACAGTGTACCATATGTTCTCACTTATAAGAGGAACTTGAACAATTATAATACTATAAGAAAGCATTTGCCAGTAATGGGAAACTGTCAGGGGAGGGGGGTGGGTTTGGCAGTTGAGGGAAACTGCTAGGGGAGGGAGGGGAATACCTCATCAACAAGGGTACCTGCATAATCAATGTTTTGTACCCTAACCCTGAATTTTACCCCACATCTTTATAATTAAAAAAAAACACTACATAGCAAAAGATAAAGAAATTGAACAAAAAAGATGGCCATCATTAATAAAACAAACAACAACAGATGCTGGCTAGGATGCGGATAAAAATGAATTCTTCTACACTGCTGGTGGGAATGTAAGCTAGTGCAGCCTCTTTGGAAGACAGTGTGACGATTTCTGAAAGAACTAGAAACTGACCTTCCATTTGACCCAGCAATCCCCCTATTGGGAGTATACCCGGAGGAATGCAAATCATTCTACAAAAAAGATACCTGCAAACACATGCTTGTAGCTCTATTCACAATTGCAAAAACATAGAACCAACCAAGCTGTCCATCGAAACTGGACTGGATAAAAAAATGTGGTACCTATACACAATGGAATTTTATGTAGCCATAAAAAAGGACAAACAAAGATTTCACAGCAACTTGGATGGATTTAGAGTCTATCATACTCAATGATCTATCACAGAAACAAATAACAGAGTACCATATGTTCTCACTCATAAGTGGATCTTGAACAATTATCATAATACTATAAGAAAGGAATTGGTAGTAGTGGGAAACCGCCAGGGGAAGCCTACAAAAAGGCCTGCCCTCCAAAAGATAATTCCTGTTTTTTGGGGCTTACCCTTATAAATGTCATTCACTGATCTACATATTAGGGTACAATGCTGGAAAACATAGACTCACTTAGTAATGATATGACTTTTTAAAACTCAAAACCCTTGTCTGACATTTCACTGGAATATAGACTGGCCCACAAAGAATAAATGAGAAGATAAGAGCCTGTATTAAAATGTCCAAGAAAAATGGATACTTTCTTAGCTACAGAAATACCCTGGGATGCTTTGTAAAGGAAATTCCATGTCAAATAGTGTTCTTAGAACAAAATAGTCCTTCAAGAGTATGACAGCTGTCCTTCAGATTTTCAAGGACCACCTGAGATTGGCATGTGTCTCATAAATGAGGTCAGCATTGATGATCTATTTCTGACTTTTGGAAGGAGTCCAGAAACACGTCCCTCCACCAGGGGGAGCGACTTCCTAACACAAATTCATTTCCTGTGAGAATTGTAGGTTTAGATCTGTCATTTCACTGTGACTTCAACATTTCTTCATATTAAGGATTGAGAACATTATTTTGGCGACACTCTAAAGATGAACTCTGCTCTTGGTTTAGTGACTGTGATACTCTTACTGCTCGGTAAGTAAAATGCCTCTTAAAACTTGTACTCTTTCTTCTATCAGATCAGAAAAATCATCTGGCATAATTTTATCTAAGAAATTTATGCCAAGGCTAAACAAATCTCTTTGTTTTCCTCAGGAAGAACTTGTGGAGACTCAGTGACTCAGATGGAAGGCCAAGTGACAGTCCCAGAAGGAGCTTTCTTGACTATAAACTGCACTTACACAGCCACAGGGTACCCGACCCTTTTCTGGTATGTCCAGTATCCTGAAGAAGGTCCACAGCTCCTTTTGAAAGCCGCAAAGGCCAACGATAAGGGAAGCAACAAAGGCTTTGAAGCCACATACAAAAAAGAAACCACCTCCTTCCACTTGGAGAAAGCCTCCATCCAAGAGTCAGATTCAGCTCTGTACTACTGTGCTCTGAATGACACAGTGACAAAAACTGCAGGGGGAGCTGAGCACAAACTCTGAGCTGCATGAGTGTCTGCCCCTGTGACACACTTTGGTTTCAGCAGTTTGTGGTTGTTGGTTCCTCAGTTTCTCTGGGGGATGCAAAACTCAAGCAAATGGTCAGAGCAGAAGAACAGAAGTGAGCACGCCCACACTCAGCTCTTCATTAGTGAAATCAAAAACAGAGGGGACACCAGTCTCTCATTCAAAGTCAAAGAAATTTCATGGTAAAACCATGTAAACAGTGAAGTGATCTCCGTGCTGATCTCTGCAAACAAAGTCCAGCCCCCACATCTTGTTCCAGGTCACCCTGGTAGATATTCTTGTGTCTTACATTTTCACAGAGCCAGTGTGTCAGAGAAGGTGAAAACTGACAGAATACGGTAGGTGAAACTGTAGAGAGCTCTGGCCTCCTCAAATCCCAAAGAGGATTCTTAATAGAGGAAGGAAGAAAGAGAAGAAAGAGGAAGGACAGAATATTGCGTATAACAAAACTATGCAAACTGAGAAAGGCAACATTTATTTTGCTAAATCAGATGGTAGATACAGGCTGATATTCCAAGAGAAAAAGAAGGATCAAAGCATAACTGAACAAACGACTGGTATACATCATAAATTTCCCCAGCCGGTTACATTTATCAATTGGCTTCCTAACAACAAAGTTTCAAGTGAGTTGGCTTTGCAGTGCCAATGGAAGATGAAACGTACATATTTATCTCTGCATCCCCCTTAAATCCTGTTATAAAGATAGAAAAATTTGGAAAAGGTATAAACACACAAAGAGTATAGAAAAGGAGATTACAGTAGGCAGTGATGTCAACAAAGTTTTAGAGGGTGAGAAGTAGATGAAGAAATGAAAACTTACATGGCAGACCAGATAAAGAAGAAACCTGGTCCCAGCGGAATAAGCCGAAGAGAAGCACCACAATGTGTGCTGTGCTCTTGTGGAAAGTTTTAGAGATTAGAAACACCAATGACCTTTGAATAATTGGGAAAGATGACACTTTGTATGAGTGTGTGTGTGTGTGTGTGTGTGTGTGTGTGTGTGTGTGTGTGTGTGTGTTGGTGTTGAGGTTAATAGAGAAGATGGCACAAAAAGAGGAGGGGCAAGTGAGAACATTTACATATAACAGACCGCCCATTCTTTCCACCACTACCTGTATTTTTTCTTCTTCTTTTTCTTTCTTTCCTTTTTATTTTAAAGATGTGGGGTACAATTCAGGGTTAGGCATGCAAATGTTCATTACTGCCTGTAACAAGCAGTAATCACTTCCCAAACTCAGAAAAAAATTAGATGTTAGTCTTTGATGAATTGAGGAACAGCACATCGTGAAGTAAGAAAGCAAAAAATAAAAAAAAAAAAGAATATAATAGTTGGTTTTTCAATATAGGAAATGTAAAATATTGTTTAAGAAAAAGAATAGACTCACAATGGTCTATACAGTTCGGCCAACTGTCATTAAGTTTTAATAATTTTTATACTATCAGTAGTGGTGTGGGCAGAATACCTGATTTCCCTAAACCTTGTGTATTATAATCCTTTTGACATCTTCTTATCAGTTAGGACTTCTTTCATTTTAAAGTTATTTTGTTTAATTATAAACAAGAGCTTAATTTTAGTCAATTACATTTTAAAATATGTTGCCATTCATCTGCCCATTTTCCATTGTTTCTATCTTTTCTCCCCACATCTTGCACTGTTCCACCTATCAGGTATTAGCAAACTCTCACCCTTTTACAAAATTCTTTATTTTTTAAGAGCAGTGCTATATTACAAAAAAATTGAGAAAAAGGTGCAGAGACTTCCCACAAACCCCCTACCTGCCCACCCCCCCATAGCCTCCCCCATGATCAACATCTGCCACCATGGGGGTACATTTGTTACAGCTGATGAACCTGCACTGACACCTCAGTCATCCGAAGTCTATAGTTTATGTTAGTGTTCACTCTTGTTGTAGATTACATGGATTTGCACAAATGCATAATGGTATGTATCTACCATTGTAATATCAGACAGAGTAATTTCACTGTCCTAAAAGTCCTCTGTGCTCTACCTATCATTCCTTTGTCAGCCTAACCCTTGGCGACCTCTGATTTTTTATGGTCTGCTTTGGTTTCCCTTTGCCAGAATGTCATATAGTAGGAATCATAAAGTATGCAGCCTTTTCAGATGGACTTCTTTCACTTAGCAACAAGCATTTAAGTTTACTCTGTCATTTATGACTTGACAACTCATTTCTTTTTTTAGCACTGAATAATATTCCATTGTTTGTATATACCACATTTATTTATATATTATCATAATTACTTAAAAAATAATTCCAATATCCCTGATATGTATTTTTCTGATAAGGTCTGTCTCTTCAAATTGCATTTTTGCCTTTTACTATGACCTGCAATTTTTTTTTTTGATAGCCAGACTTGGTGCACTGGGTCAAAGGAACTGCTGTAAACAGGTCTTTAGTAAGTTGTAAGTGGTAAGTTGTAAGGGAGAAAAAGTGTTCTATAATTTTACAATTAGTTCTCAGTCTTTTAGTGAACCTATGTCTCTGGGCTGAAACTTCACAAGTGTTTCTCAGTCTCCCTCATCCCTGAGAGATTCTTTAAGAAAGGATTGTAAAGTAGGCCAGAGTTGGGAATTTTCTTTCTCCAAGGTTTTGTTAGGCTTTAACAAAACCCTGACAGGTTAGGCTCTGGATAACTAGTTTCTTTTGAAAACAAACCTTGTTTAAAAGATCAGAGTGCTCTAAAGTATTTCAAAACGATTACTTTTTCCCTACTCCTCCTGGAAGCATGAGACATTTTTTTTTCTCTGATAAAATTAACAAAACTGTAGAAGTTCCAGTATGATTCAGCCCACCTAGAATTTTTGATCCTCAGACTTGTCCTTCCTGAGCCTACAACAATTCTTCAATTACAGTTCTGGTTTTCCCACATCAGCAGTGGTTCCATATAAGTTTCTACTTCTGCATCTTTTCTGTCTCTCCAGTCCTGTAGGCAGTGTTATGCCCTGTGTCTTCATTTCTATTATGGATTCAACAAGAGTTGTTAATTCTTCAGATTATTAGGATGCAATGGCAACTTACAAGATTTTTACATGCAGAAGCAGAAACTGGAAGTCACCTGCTGTTGTCTTTTAATATCAGTTTTAAGAAATCTTTTTATATTAAGAAAAATAGTCATAGTTATCATCTATATCTATATTTTTTATAAGTTGATTATTATTGTTTTGTCTTTATTTATGGTCCACAAGGTCTTATGGGGACCTGAAAGTCCAAATTCTGCCTGGCAGACTATCGGGCTGGGACGCCCAAGGTGGAGTTGATTTTGTAGCTTGAGTTTGAATGCAGTCTGAATGCCTAATTCTTTTTTATTTGGGGGACCTGAGAATTTTTCTCTTAAGACCTTCTACTTATTATATGAAGTCCCCTCACATTATGTTGGGTAATCTGCTTCACTAAAGCCAAAGAATTTAAACGCTTATCTCATATAAAAATACCTTTATAGTGATATCTACACTAGTGTTAGATCAAATATCTGAGTACTATGGTTGCTGCTTTATAACCCGAAATATCACTTACTTTAGTAGCAGTAGTGCAGTACATCAGTTTTATGCTTGGGAAGAGCCAGATGAGATGTAGTAGTTAACTTTACTTGTTGTGTGAAGATATCTTTATGCTATGTAGATACAGTGGATGCATAAAATTAACCATCGCATTCTAGCCAAGTGGACACAGAAGTAAATTCTTTATAAATATGCCTTAATTATTAACTTGCTGTGCTCTCATTGTGATACTAACTTACAATTATGTATCATGGTATAAATAGTCAGGAGGTAACCTAGCAAAAAGCTTCAACAGAATTTGAGCAACTGTAACTCTGATCCCAAAGTGATAGTGTTTGCAGAGTCCCTGTCTGTATGTCTGATTGTGAAAAGGATAGCTACATCTAGTCTGTGATTGGCTGGGGATACTATCTGAGCACCACATTTTAATGTTAAAAAATATGCTTAATAGACAAGTTGGCTTTGGGGGATAGACTTCCTCAAAACAAAAGTGAAAATGCATCTGAGGACTTTCTTCGTGGTTTTGTAGCTTCATTTTTGTTGTTAGTGGAGAGTTTTGGCCTGGTTGACACAGGAAGTTTAGGAGGAAGTGTAGAAGAAAACATATAAAACACTCTTCTGGACATTGCCCTAGGCAATTAATTTATGACCAAGATCTCAGATGCAAAAGCAGCAAAAGAAAAAAATGACACATAGGACCTAATCAAATTCAAGAGCTTTTGCACAGCCGAAGAAACTATCAACCAAGTTAATAGCAAACTACACAATGGAAGACAATATTTGAAAACTCTGCATCCAACAAAGAACTATTCTCTAGAATCTACAATGAACTCAAATAACTCAAGAGGATAAAAATTAATAACCCCATTAAAAAGTGGGCCTTTCCTTCTCAGAGGAAGACATACAAGCAGGAAAATATATATATACATATATCACTAATCATCAGAAATGCAAATCAATACTATAATAAGATATTATCTCACATCAGTCAGAATGGCTACTATTAAAAAGTCAAAAAAGCAACAAATGTTGGTGAGGCTGTGGAGAAAAGGGAAAGCTCGTACACAGTTGGTGGGAATGTAAGGTTGTTAGCCCCTGTAGAAGGAACTTTGGAGATTTCTCAAGGAACTAAAAATGATCTAATTTGACCCAGCAATCCCACCTCTAGGTTTATACAAAAAAGCATACATCATTCTACCAAAAGGCACTTGCGCGCAAATGTTTTTGCAGCACTATTCACAATAGCATAAACATAAAACCAACCCAAGTGCCCACCAAGGGTGGACTGAATAAAGAAAATGTGGTACATATACACCATGGAATACTAAATAGCCATAAAAAAGAATGAAATCATGTCATTCGCAGCATGGATGCAGCTGGAGGTCATCATTCAAAACAAATTATCACAGAAACAAACAAATGAATCCACATATTCTCACTAAGAAGTGGATACTAAACACTGGGCACACGAGCACAAGGATGAAAGCAAACACTGGCGGACTACTAACGGGGAAGTAAGCAGGGAGAATAAGGGACACAGAACCCCCATTGGGTACCAAGATCACCAACGGAGGGGCAGAGGTGGTCAGGATCATCAGAAGCCCAAACTTTGCCATCATGCAATAAACATACCTATGTAACAAATCTTCACATGTACCCTCTGATTCTAAAATAAAATAAAAATTTTAATAAGGAGAACATGTAGGAAAAAAGCTTCAATTGGAGGTCCACATAGGATTAATTTTGTGTACTGGAAGATCTGTCCATTTTAAACAAAAAACTGATGACAATTAACAGGATGATAGTTAACCTAGGAGGGAAAAATGAATTAAATCTGTAAAAGTTATCTGCTCCAGAAATGCAATAGCAAAATGAAAATGTAGAGAGTAGAAAAGGATCATAAAAACTACTTAGAAACAGGCATATAGTCCAATGGAACAGGATAGAGATTCCAGGAAAAAAAATTAGAAAATTTGTAAGTCACACTTTTAGCTATGGATGCCCCATCAACCTCCACATTTAGCTGCAAATCCACGTTTCATTATATAAGGGTACACTTGACAGGTAGATGGAAGGTCTAGAATCAGGTGGTGAGAACTGGATGAAACAAAAAGCCAGCCAAAAATTTTGGTAGAATTCAGCAGTAAAGCCATTTAGTCCTGAGCTTTTCTTTGTTGGGAGAATTTTTATTACAGACTCAATATCATTACTTACTATTTGTCTGTTTAGATTTTCTATTTCTTCCTGGTCTAATGTTGGCGCATTGTATGTGTTCAGAAATTTATCCATTTCCTCTAGATTTTCCAGTTTGTTATCACAGAGTTGTTCATAATAGTCTCTGATGTTCTTTCACATTTCTGTGCTATCAATTATAGTGTCTTCCTTTTTCCTTTCTGATTTTGTTTATTTCTCTTTTTTTTCTTGGTTAATCCAGTTAGTGGTTTATCAACTTTATCTTTTCAAAAAACCAGCTTTTCATTCTACAGATCCTTTATATTGTTTTTTAAACATCTATTTTATTTAGCTCTGCTTTGATTTTCATTATTTCTTTCCTTCTACTAATTTTGACTTTGGTTTGTTTTTGCTTTTATAATTTCTTGAGGTGCACTGTTAGCCTGTTTTTTAAATCTTTCTACTTTTCTGATGTAGGTATTTAGTGCTATAAGCTTACCTCTTGCCGCTATTTTTGTTGTATCAAATAAGTTTTGGCATGTTGTGATACTATTTTAATTTATTTCAAGAAACTATTTTATTTCCTTCTAATTTCTTCATTGACCTAACTGTCGTTAGAAACTTGTTGGAGGTCATTATATTAGGTGAAATAAGCCAGAAACAGAAAGATATATATCACATGTTCTCATGTATATGTGAGAGGTAAAAAACTCAGTCTCATAGAAGTAGAGAGGAGAGCCGGGCTTGGTAGCTCAGCCTGTAATCCCAGCGCTTTGGGAGGCCGAGGTGAATGGAT